CCTCACGCGGCTCACCATTGTCTTACAGCAGGTTACAGTACCATAACACTACATCTACAACACAAATACAGGACTGTAACCTCACATGGCTCACCAATGTCTTACAGCAGGTTACAGTACCAATTCACTACATCTACAACACAAATACAGTACTGTAGCATCACGCGGCTCACCAATGTCTTACAGCAGGTTACAGTACCATTACACTACAATGTACATCTACAACCCAAATACAGGACTGTAACCTCACGCGGCTCACCATTGTCTTACAGCAGGTTACAGTACAATTACACTACACTGTACATCTACAACCCAAATACAGGACTGTAACCTCACACGGCTCACCATTGCCTTACAGCAGGTTACAGGACCATAACAATACATCTACAACGCAAATACAGTACTGTAGCCTCATGCGGCTCACCATTGTCTTATAGCAGGTTACAGTACCATTACACTACACTGTACATCTACAACCCACAGGTTACAGTACCATTACACTACATCTACAACACAAATACAGGACTGTAGCCTCACATGGCTCACCATTGTCTTACAGCAGGTTACAGTACCATAACAATACATCTACAACGCAAATACAGTACTGTAGCCTCATGCGGCTCACCATTGTCTTACAGCAGGTTACAGTACCATTACACTACACTGTACATCTACAACCCAAATACAGGACTGTAACCTCACACGGCTCACCATTGTCTTACAGCAGGTTACAGTACATATACCATTACACTACATCTACAACACAAATACAGTACTGTAGCCTCACCCGGCTCACCATTGTCTTACAGCAGGGTACAGTACGATTACACTACATCTACAACACAAATGCAGTACTGTAGCCTCACGCGGCTCCCCATTGTCTTACAGCAGGTTACAGTACATATACCATTACACTACATCTACAATCCAAATACAGTACTGTAGCCTAATACAGCTCACCATTGTCTTACAGCAGGTTACAGTACCATTACACTACATCTACAACACAAATATAGTACTGTAGCCTCACGCGGCTCACCATTGTCTTACAGCAGGTTACAGTACCATTACACTACATCTACAACACAAATACAGTACTGTAGCCTAACGCAGCTCACCATTGTCTTACAGCAGGTTACAGTACCATTACACTACATCTACAACACAAATACAGTACTGTAGCCTCACGCGGCTCACCATTGTCTTACAGCAGGTTACAGCACCATTACAGTACATCTACAAGACAAATACAGGACTGTAGCCTCATGCGGCTCACCATTGTCTTACAGCAGGTTACAGCACCATAACACTACATCTACAAGACAAATACAGGACTGTAGCCTCAGGTGGCTTACCATTGTCTTACAGCAGGTTACAGCACCATCACACTACATCTACAAACACAAATAAAAAACTGTAGTATCATGCGGCTCACTATTGTCTTACAGTTAAAGCAGGTTACAGCACCATCACACTACATCTACAACACAAATACAGTACTGTAGCCACACGTACATCTACAACACAAATACAGGACTGTAGTCTCACATGGCTCACCATTGTCTTACAGCAACATCCTTGTCTTACAGCAGGTATTTAACAGTCCCATATCACAGGGATAATATATTTCCCGATCCTGTTCGGAGGTCCGATTCTGGCACAAGTTGCCTTGCATGGTACCAAGAACTTCATATATATATACAAGGCTTTCCAAACAGCCTCGACCCCATGACAACCAATTATGCAACTGTGCTTCAGTTTACAGTGAACATACTTGTATTCTGTTTACAAAAAAATCATAAGTTCAGGTATATGCCTTTACAAGTGCACATGGGTTGCCCACAATCAACCAAGTAACCCACCATTAATCTGTGTTAATCTATTTGTCCTGCTATGAAACCTTCATTTATCTGACTGTCACAACCCAACTACCTTAATTAGTTTTCCTTGGAGCCACCCCTGTAGCCACTGCTAATTATCTCTTTCGAGTATCCCCCAGGCTCTATCACATGGGTGATGCACCAATGCCACCCCCACCACTCATTTATGTTCTGTTTTAATAGACAATGTTTTCCTTTTTCCTCAAATGTTGAATTTTAACATCTTGTACAGCAATGGGTCAAGTATCTGTACTTCAAGTGACCGGTACAAAGGACCCTTTTGTATCCCAATCCCCACTGCTAAGTGTCGAGAGCTACCAAACTATTGTTCAATAACTATTGAGGTTTGAGTGATGACTTAACCAATCATGCTCCAGGGCAATGAAGATCTTAATAAAGAAGTCACTACTAAGTCATCATACTGCAGTGGTGAGCACATGAAAGGAAGTTATTGACATATTACGTCGCTCTTATGACTGAAAGATGCAAACAGGGCCCGTATTCATGAAACCGTTCTCATGGTCAAGCATGGATTCTGTGCTCAAACCAACTTTCTTTTCACTAGCTTTCATGTAAAAGGATCAAAAAGTCAAATGTAAACATTAAAAACAGTATTCGTCTTTAAGTCTCTTCAAAGTTTTTCCAAATCATTGACAAAATAAGATTTTATTAAGTTATAAGCAAAACAAGAAATCAGACTTGAGCACAAAATCCATGCTTGAGCATGAGAACGGTTTCATGAATACGGGCCCTGTTTGCATCTTTCAGTCATAAGAGCGACGTTCTTTCTCTTACAAATATTGCTTAACATTCGCTATAGTAAATGATCTACCATGTCAGAAATATAACTAATTAAAAAAAATCCAATTCAGTAAAATATAAAGTAAATTTTAAAACATGTCGGGTCATAAGATGATGTGTTAATTTAATTTACACATCTAAAACATAAGTCATCCAATACGATGTGATGAAATTATAATACTGGTATGTAATATCAATTCATCAAATATGAAATGTTACGGTAATTAACTTCAAAAGTTATTAATTACTGCAGCTAATTTACATAATTATCTATTTAAAACTTTGGTGTCCTTAACTTGTGCTGTATATCACGATATATAAATACACCCATGACGTGTTAATGTACCTATTGATCAATGGCTTCCCCAACATCATATAATATGTATTCTGTGTATAATAGTTTATCAAATTACACAAAACTTAACTTTTTTAATTAAATTTAAAACACAAATTCGGGGAAGACTATATAAAGTATTAAAATAAATTTGCACACAGCCAATGAAGGTGACATGCATATTCTGCACACCGATATTCCCAATCAGAACTAGACATCTTCCACGTAAGTTCCTCCAACACATGAATCATACACCTCTAGATACAAGCAAATGAAAAGGGTTGTTAACATTTGGGACATCCATCCAAGATAAATGGTCTATAATATTATGCAGTATATAGAACACACAAAATGATAACTCGCTATCTCCCACCTCTTATATTGCCTTGTACAATGTAGGTGTTTATATTCTGAAAAAATTGATAATGAAACCATTTTAATTGCGAATATCTTGAAAGAGCAAAATCTGCTTAGTATCTCAAATGTATATTTGAAAAGTGCGGCAGTATGCAAAATTTGTGTTGTTTTGTTTCCTGTAAATGTATTGTTTTACAGATCATCAAAAACCTAAGTCATTTAAGACAGGGTAAAAATAAATGTCTACAAAACGGAAATGAAACTAAAATTAAAAGATTATAATTAATAAAACAATAAAGATGTAAAAAAACTTAATAGCTAATTAATTGGTTATATCATTATATGTTTTATCTTCTGGCAAAGATGAATTGAATATAGATACTTACATACCATGTGTAACAATGACACAAAAACAACATATATTGTATCAAACAAATTTTTCTCAGTTGGTTCATAATAAAAACGGTTATGCTAATTAAGCTGCTTGTTTGAAG